ATACCTTACAGCAAAGGTAGGCAAAAGAGCAAGGCAGGCTCCAGACCAGATTAGCACCTACCACAGCACTTGAGCCATTCCTCTTGAGAGGTGAAAGCTCAAACCCTTTCTCCACAAACATGAAGGGGGATTTGAACCCCAAGCTAGCACATGCTAAGCACACACCCAAATTGATAGACTCCACAGTGCTGCTTGTTAGCTTTGTGACCCCCATGAACATGGAATTAAAGTGAAACAACTGCAGCAGAACAGGCTGAGACAGCCAACACCAGGCCCACCCAAAGGAGACCACCTCTTAGTCCAGCAGCTGGGTATTCACTTCCGAGACAGCTGCTCAAGTCCCTTCCCAGAAAGCTGAGGCAGGAGTTGAACCAGCATCATTGGCACAGCTCCATAAGCATCAGACCCCTGGGATATAAAGAGATTCCAGAATTAGCCCTTGCCTAATTGCTATTTAATTATAATGGCACAGGCTCGAGGTACTACAAGGCACAACCTACCTTTGCCTGCCAGCTGCTGGGAGTGGCTGACAGCTGGATAATTGCCCTTTTCTGTCCATTGCCTTTTAAGCATCTGGCATCAGCCATGGTTGGAAGATGGGGAACTGGGCCAGCAGAGTCATTGATTGGACCCAGTCTGGCCATCTGAACCATCTTAATTTCCCCCTTGCCTCATGAGAAAGAAGTTGAAGAGGGCTCACCTGCCACCCAGGTGAATACCCTGATCACTGGGTCATGGGCTGCAGTGATGAGGGCTCCCATCACTGTTACCCTTTGAAGTTGTTCCATGTTAATTAAAACAGTACTGGGGGGAGGTGCTGTATAAGGCTCCCCCCCTAGGCTAGGGGTGGGGCTTCTGTGTTGTGTTAGGCTGCCTGCCGTGCTTAGTGGTCTAATGGACTGGAATCTTTCCTCTGCCCAGAAGGTTTTTGGCAGTGTTTCAAACTTAGTTGTGCTGCATGTGCCCTGGGTGATGTGGGGCTTACTTCCCTCTTGCCTATGGGAGCTGTGGACTTGGAGGTATGGGTTTGAGTCTATCTTGGTGCCTGGGCCTGCCCCTGTTTTGAAAATAGCCAAGGGCTTGTGCTCTCTTGTTTGCTGAAGCTGCTCTACTAGTATTAAATGTGCTTTGGACCAGGCCCACAGGTTGCATAAACAAGACAGCAGGCGCCTGGAGGTGTTTCATACGCTTTGTGACAGCGACTGGTGGGCATGTTTGCTGTTTGATTTTTATCCGTCATTGGGATGTTTTATTGAGAACTGGGCTGGAGAGGATTGAAATCCTCATTGGTCCCTGCCGAATGGAACTTTCTGGCCATGTAGCCTGCCTCTGAGAGAAAGTCCCAACACACTGAGCCCTGAAGATTGGACTTAAGGTTGGAGCAGATGTTGCCCAGGTGGGAGACTTGTGGTCAGCCATGATTGCTTTGGCTGTACCAGATCAGTAATAACTTGGTGGAGCCTTTAAATGCCTGGAATCAAGCCATACAATGTGGCCATGGACAATCAGTGCTATGGACCCACTGCCAAGCCTAGTGGTGTTGTTATGAAAGAGCCCTAGTGGTGGTGTTATGAAAGAGCGTAGGACTTTCAAGCAAGCCTGAGTTGTTCCATGAGAACCACGTAAAATCCCCCATTTCCAGACAGTTCCAAACTTTCCTCTGCTTTGGTTTGATATTGTGGGTTCATTCTGACATGAAATGTAAGGTAAAGTGTGTGTGTGTGTGTGTGTGTGTGTGTGTGTGTGTGTGTGTGTGTGTGTGTGTGCGTGTGTGTGTCTGTGCTACCAGCTCTAGTAATGGCCCATTCTGAGGGCTCTTCTACAATGAGATGGCAGAACATGGATTATAGTGCTCTTCTAGCTATGCTTGTACAATGTTTTACCTTATTTACATAAGCTGAAAATCTCTCCTTAAGTAGATGCTGTGATGTTGGCAGACTAGGTGCCAGCTCATGCCAAGGTCTCCGTATCTCAGCGGGACACTGACAGGCACATACCTGGATTCTGTCTGGCTTATTGATGAGTTAATGCAATATTGATACAATCGCACAAGCAGTGGGTACCATAGGCAGGGGAAGGCTGAGCATCCCCACAACCTATTGCAGCCCTTCCCCCAGACCAGTGTAGTTTCCGCAGGGAGTCGGGGTTGGATGCATTGCCTGCCCCTGGGGCTGTGAGTGCTGAAGCTGCAGCACACGAGGGTTGAGGCCTTGCTTCCTTGCCCCAGCTGAGCACTGCTGGGGTTGTGGTGGGTGTGTTTTGGGCTCCTGCAGGAGTAAGAGGTGGGGCCCAAAGGGAGGTGGCGGGGGCTAGCATCCCCAAGTAGCTGAGTCACTGGCCACCCATGATGAGCAATGGAACAGTGTTAACCAGGACAAAGTTAAGTGAGGCGTTGCTGTATGTGTACTGCTCTCCAGAGAGTTCGCTCTGGCTGGAAAGTTCCCAGGTGAGGCTCCACAGGAGAGGTGGCTGAGAGGGTCTGGGCTCGCATCACCCTTTCACTCCCCAAGCAATGGGATTGTGACTCACTTTCAGGGCTGGTGCATTTCACACTGCCTGTCAGAGATGGGAGAGTGAGACAGGACAGTGCTAGGAGCTGCTGCAGGGTCCCTGGCCTGGTGTGTGTGTGAGATGGGAATTGTAGGGCTGTCAGCAGCTCTATGGGGGTGAGAGCGCACACATTACTGTCCTTTTTGAGATACCTAAGCAGGGGTGAGGGGAGCTGGGTGTCTAGCTGCTTCCAAAGAGCTCTCTCACTGTCTCTTATTGGCCCCGCCGTACAGAGCCCCTGTTAATAACAGGGAATAACTTTTGCGTAGAAACAGTGGAGCAGAGAGAGTAGGCACTGGCCAGTCAGCGTCTGCCCTGATCCTGCTGCCTCTTCCCCACGAGGGTCGGAGCCCCCGGCTGAGAACCCTGTGGGAAGTGGCTGTGGGGTTCCCAGGGCTGGGCTCAGGAGGGAGGGGAAGGGGGTAAATGGGAAAGGCTGTCTGAAGAGGGGCTCCTAAATGGGCTCCTGGCCAGTTGATGTCTTGTGCCAAACTGCCCTTTTGATTGACTAGTGGCCATGTGGGGGCCCATGTGGGAGTGTGAAATCTCAGACCTACACATCCGGTTACGTGGGCCCATTGGTCTGATCCAGCTTAACAAGGAAATAGGAGCCTGGGTACCTGGGCCCACTGGTCTGTTCCGGTGCAGCAGCTTCCACATTGGTAGTGGTCTTCCCAAATGCCTTCCTGCACTCACATATCCCCTGAGCTAAACTCCTTGCCTGGGCTTTCCCGTGGCATCGCCCGTTATTTCTGAGCTCCCTTGGATGGGTGCTGGAGCCTTAAGGAGCCCCCAGCTGTGACTGGGTGCCAGTGCTCTGGGAGGTGACCCCTAGGGCAGGGGTTCTCAAACTTTCTGATACCACGACCCCCTAAAATGCTAAATGAATTTGTGTGACACTCCCCCCTCCCCCCTACTGCTCTGGGTTGCTTCCTCCCCCCTTCTCACCAGACTCCTTGCCCACCTGGGGTTCCTTCAAGGCATTTGCGGTCCTCAACGCCCTTCCTCCCCTGCAGGCTCCTTCCCCCGTCTCTTTCTCCTCTGCTTCTTTTCCGCTCCTTGTCCCTTTGGTGTTTTTTGTTTTTCTTTCTTTCTTTCTTCCTCTCCTCTGCCTCCTCCTCTGAAACCCACGTGTCCTTAATTATCTCCGTGCATCCCGGACCCAATCCCCCCGCCCTCTCCCAGCTGGGGAAACATTCGGTCACCCAGTAACCATGCCCCGGCCTGCCCCTCGCGTGTCCGCTCTGGCACCGGCCTCACTCTCCTGCTGCCTTGCCTCCTCCTGCAGCTGAGCTGCGCTACTGGAGTCCCGTGGCCCCGGCCATGCTGCACGGGCTGCCTTCCGCTGCCCTGCCGCTCTTCACAGCCCGGGGTAGAGGGGTCGCAAGTGAAAAACCGAATACAGCTGTGACCCCCCTCTAAGTTCTCGCGACCCACACAGTTTGAGAAACACTGCCCTGGGGATAGCCTTGGCAGGGATAGTGGCTGAGATGCACAATACTAGGGAACTGGGCCGTGCCAGGGAAGCATCCCTAGCAAAAGGGCCTGCACTGCTATCCTGGCCAAAGAGGGGAGTGAGCTAGACTAGGGGGCCCACTGCCTGTGAAGAGGGAGGCGGATGAGGTGTGAGTGCCTAGTGCAGAAAGAGGTCAAACTGGCAAGTGCCACGCTAGCACTGCTTCTGCTAATGGGACACACATCCTGCAGTTTCTGCAGGAGGAGGGGATTGGCCTATGCCCAGACCCTCCAGCTTGCCCTTGCTCCCCCAGAAACATGGATCCGCCCAAAGGGCTGAAGATCCACTGGTGTAAGGGGACAAAGCAAGGCCAGGTCTCTGTGGGAAGCACGTGCCTAAAGTTTCCTTGTCCCTCGCTACCACTGAGGGTCTGGGAGGGGCCTCAGCCCAGGAGATGTGCTTCAGAGCAGATGGCAGAGGAAAAGGGGTGGGAGATGCGCACCAGCATGAAAGAATCTAGAGCATGCCAGAGATGGGCACTCCCCTGTGTGGAGATGGGGCATTTGTCCCTCCTGGAGTTACTGCTGGGCTGGACACTCCATGCAGCCTGGATTGGAGCAGCCAGGCCTCCCAGGTGGGACCTGCTGGGTATGTGGCAGAGGGGGCTGGGGAGCTGGGTATGGGATTAATGCCAGCTCAGCTCACCCAGGGAAGAAAGGGCCAGTGTCAGGGCAGGGCTTCCCTGCAGGAGGAAGGTGCTTCGGCCCTTGGTCCATCCCAGCCAGTGCCCTGTGTCCCATTTGTGCCTCCCATTTCTAAGGGCTCCGAGTGGCAGCTCTACCCAGAGTGGTAAATCTGTGCAGGCCCCGTTCCCCGAGTGCTCCTGATCCCAGCCCTGTGGCAGCTCACCTAGGGGCCTGCCTTGGCACTGAGACTAGCACTGTGCCCCTTCTCCCAGTCCCCACTCAGCTCTCTGGTTGCTTTGGCTTTGCAGGTGGCCAGGAGCAGAGTAAAGGAGGGAGAGTTGCTGGAGCTACCGAACCTCGCTGACTGCCACCAGGCACCATGACGACGAGCGGCGGCCCCTCCGACAGGTATGGCCAGGCCCCCAGAAACATGGCCTTACGCGCTGCTCCTCCGACTGACAGAACCGCAGCAGCTATGGGGTTTCCAGCACCCCATCCTGACACCACATGGCAGGACACTCAGAAGAGCCCAAGGAGCCGTGGAATGAGCCCACTGGTGCCATGAGCTTGGAATCCTAGTGTCCCTGGACACTGGGCCGTGTCCCCAAGCCTGGGAACCCTGCTGCCCTCCCTGCTGTCCTGCCCCTTCTGCTGGAGGTGCAGGGGCCAATGCTGCACTATAGGTAGTGCCCCGTGCCTTGCTCGTGAGTGAGAAGGCAGCAAGACGGGGTCTGTGGCACTCTCCTCTCTGGGAGGCTCTCCTGGTGTCAGTTTTTCCATAGCAGATAGGCTGCGAACATTCCTCTCTGCAGGGAGAAAGACAAATACTGAGAGACTTGGCCCCCTCCCACATCTGACTGCTGCCAGCACACATCTGGCTGCCCAGGGCCTGTGAGCGGCCAATTCCCTCGTCCCTCCCTCTTTCATAGCCTGTCTGGAAATCGCCTTTGGGTCCCCAGGCAGCTGAGCCCCTGCACTCTTGCCTAATACCTGGCTTTAATTCTCCAAACTCAGACACATCCAATTTCCCCCCAGGGGACTCGAGGTCCTGCAGGCATCCTCTGAACTAAGCAGCTCGAACATTAGAGCTGCCAGTAGGGGGCGGTCAGGGCTCTGCATTAAGGCCTAAGTCAGGGGTGGGCAAAAGGGCCTCCGTGGGCTGAATGTGGCCCACCAAGCGAGTGGATCCAGCCTGCGGAGGCCCTGCTGCTCCCCCTACCCCAGGCCAATTAGGACCTGGGGGCGAGGGAGCGCGGGAAGCCTCCTCCCGCCTTGCCAGGAGCACGTGGCACTTGAAGTGCTGCCCACTCTTGCAGGGTGCGGGGGAGAGCGAAGGAGGCTTTGCGTGCTCCCCAGACCAATCAGGGCTTGGGGGTGGGGGAGCTGCGTGAAGCTTCCTTCGCCCTGCCCCGGCCCTACAAGGAGCTCATGGCACTTCAAAGTGCCACATGCTCTTCGCAGGGCGGGAGGAGGGTTTCTGTGCTTCCCTGCCCCCAGACCCTGATTGGCCTGGGGGGCGGGAGAGCATGCCAAGCCTCTTCCACGGCATAGGTGCTACTGGGAAGGGAGGGGGCAAAGGGGCTCCCCTCACCCCTTCCTGTTTAGACCTCACCCCTTCCTGTTTAGGGACCCCCCTTTCTGGGGTGGCTCAGGGCTACTTCCGAAATTTTTGGAGTGGCCCTCGGACAAAAATTATTGCCCACCCCTAAGTCCACAAAAGCAGCTATTGGCTTTGAGTGCCTGATGTTGGGCCTCTAGGGCCTAATTCTCAGAGGTGCTGAGTGCTCATCACTCCAGGTGCAGCCCATGGGAGCTGTGGGTGCTCTGCACCTCTGTAAAACCAGGCACAACAGCGGCTTGAGTTGGGCCCCCCAAATAGGATGTCACAGCTGGACACTTGGGTCCAAATCAGTAGTCATTTGTAGCACCAGAATCCAGGCCATGGAGCTCAGGGTGAGAGGTGCAGCCCTGCGCCCCAGTGAAGCCCTCCTCAAAAGACTTGGGAGTTGTAATCAGCTGAGCCTGAGCTCCCAGTGCCCAAAGGGCTCTAGCCATCCTGGGATGTACCAAGAGAGGGCATTTCAAGGAGGAGGAGAGAGGACATTTTGCCGCTGTATTTGGCACTGGTGTGACGGTTGTTGGCACTGTCCCCCATTCAGCTGCCCACAGACAGTGGAAGAGGGATGTGTGGTAAATTGGAGAAGCTGAGAGAAGAACCACAGGAATGAATAAAACCAGGCCTTACGGTGGTAGACTCGAGGCGCTCAGTCGGTTTGGTTTAACAAAGAGAAGGGTTAGGGCTGCCTTGATTCCGGTCTGAAAGTGTCTCGATGGGGAGCAGAGACAGGCTTATCAGTCCCGCAGGAGAAGGCATAACATGATCCAGTGGCTGGTTGTCCACACTAGACAGACTCACACTGGAAATGAGATACGGGGTTTTTAAAGTGAGAGTCATGAACCACTGCAACTACTCACCAAGGGTTGTGTGATGTATCCGCCCTCACTGGTGATGTTTAAATCAAGATGGGATGTCTCTCTAAAAGCTCTGCTCTGGGAACTTCTCTAGGGCAGGTCTCTGGCCTGTGCTATAGCGGACGTCAGACCAGATGATCACAATGGTCCCTTCTGGGCTGGGAATCTATGAACTGGCAAGTGACATTAGTGCTTGTAAGGGGAAGATGGTGCTGCAGAATCCAGCAAGAATGCCCCAAAAGGTTGTGTATGTGTGTGTATGTTGTGCCAGGGAGCTTGAGCAGCACTCGCCTGTATTGTCCTGAGGTCCAGGAAGTGTAACATCTGTTCAAGGGAGCCCAGGGCTGGGATAGCAAGGGGCTGCAGGGCAGGGCTGAGAGGCACTGGCAGAGCTGTGTGTGGGGAAGCCCAGGGCTGGGATAGCAGGGGGCTGCCGGGCAGGGGTGAGGGGCACTGGTGGAGCAGTGGCAGGTAGACCCAGCCCCTGCCTTCTCCTCTGCCCTGACTTCTTTCCCTTTATGGAGGCTCAGAGTCACTGCCTCCTTCCTCTCTCGCCTGTTCTGGGGCTGGAGTGGTCAGGAGATGGGGGCAGTTGCCACACATCCTCGTACCGCCTGTCCTCTCTCAGCAGCACACAGCTCAGACTCTGATTCTGCCCATCTCTCCCACAGGTATAAAGCCGTCTGGCTGATCTTCTTCATACTTGGCCTGGGGACGCTGCTGCCATGGAATTTTTTCATGACAGCCACCAGGGTAAGGCCCCCTGCACCTGTGTGCATGGGTGGGAGGATTTAAGTGCGTGTGGTGCATGTGGCCCATGGGGGTGTTGGAGGGGTGCCGGTGTGCGCTAGGAGAGATGGAGGTGCCTTGGAGGCAGCCAGGCTCATTTCGCTCTCTCCCTTTCAGTATTTCACCTACCGCCTCGGGGTTTCCGACAACATTTCCTCCGTGGATCGCCTCCTGGGGCCGAATAGCACATACGAAGGCCAGGAGCCTCCCCCCACCTACCTGCAGGCCAGGTTCAACAACGTCATGACACTCTGTGCCATGCTTCCCCTGCTTGTCTTCACCTGCCTCAACTCCTTCCTCCACCAGAGGTGAGTCTGGGCCCCTACCCTCATCCCCTCTGGCCAAGCGGGGAACCAGTGGCAACCGGTAACTGCCAATAGCGAGGGTGCACAATTGAAAGAGTACCTGGGATGCCGCAGGATTCAAGGCAGGTACTCAGGAGACAAAGACCTTTGGGTTCCTAGCGCTACTTTTGATGTCGTTTTATGATACTTGAGTACCCCACTGGCCCCTCGCAGCGCTTTCGCCTTTGGAGTGTAGCAACAGCCCTGCAGCAATTGCATTGACTGTTCGATTAGCCAATTTATCTAAATTGAACATCCCTAGTTGGGGGTGCACATGGTACTCCATGCCCCCCCTTGTTGCTTGTGCAGGGAACTCAGCCTCCCGCTGGGTCCCTGTCGTACTCCAGAGCCCAGCTGGACCAGTCCCTGCTCGACACAGACACGAGACCCACCAAACACCAGGCCTTGTGATCCAATTCCCCTGTGAGGCAGGCCTGTCAAAGGGGGTGCCTCCCGCAGCCCACCATGGTCCTGTGAGGGGTCCTCTTCTCACCAAGGGGCTCTTTCTGACCGCCCTGCAGGATCCCCCAGAAAGTCCGTATCATGGGCAGCCTGGTTGCCATCCTGCTGGTCTTCATGATGACAGCTGCCTTGGTGAAGCTCTTCCTGCCGCCGCTCCCCTTCTTCATCGTCACCATGGTCAAGATCATCTTCATTAATTGTGAGTGAGGCCTTGGCCAATCCTGGATGCTAGTGGGATCAGGGAAGCTGGCCCCGGAGGGTAGAAAGAGGCACATGCCCCGCTCCACCTCTCCCTTCACTGCCAGCCCGAGCAGTGCCAACCCACTCTGCTGCCCCAGGGCCTCGGCTCTGGGTCTGATTGCCTGGCACCGAAGTGCATGGCTGCTCCTCCCCCAGCAGGAGGCGCTGTGGGGAGCAGGGCAGGGGCACTGGCTGTGAAGTGTGTGGATCCCCAGTTTGTGTCTCAGCAGGAGTGGGAGAAGGGCACAGTGCTGTGTCACCTCTATTTGTCGATTCTCCCCTAATTGCCTGTCTTTGTCCTTGCAGCCTTTGGTGCCATCCTCCAGGGCAGCCTCTTTGGATTGGCAGGGCTGTTACCTGTCAGCTACACAACCCCCATCATGAGCGGGCAGGGCTTGGCAGGGACCTTCGCAGCGCTGGCCATGATCTGCGCTATCGCCAGTGAGTACCTCTGCTGTGGCCCCATCTGAAGCCCTCCTGCGAGATCGCCTGCAAACAAAGCCTGTGCCCAGAGGCTGCGGAGGGAGCTGATCAGTGGCGGTTGCCCTTCCCACAGTTCAAACTCAGCCGCCAGGGCACTGTTGGGGAAGAGCACACTTCGGGGTCACGCAGGGAGGGGCACTGAAATCTGCACCGGCTTCTGCAAACATCCTGTGCGGGGAGGGGGAGGGGGTGTCCTCCTGGTGGGGTGTAGGAGAGGTGCTTCTCCGCAGCAGCCCCTCAGCCCTTCCCTCCCCTCCTGCCTTTCTTCTCTCCATGCTCCCAGGCGGCTCAGAGCTGCAGGAAAGCGCCTTCGGCTACTTCATCACAGCCTGCGTGGTGATCCTGCTGGCCATCGGCTCCTACATCCTGTTGCCCCGCATGGTAAGGACTCTCCCTTCTCGAAGAGCCGAAGCAGGACCCGGAGCTACCCCAGCAGGGAAACCCAGCCAGCAGCAAGATTGGGTTTGGGGGGCCTCCACTGTACTTCACAGGGGCCATTGTGCAAGGGGAAGCCAGCTTCGTGCGGGTGGCCACAGGCTTCCCCAATGACACTCTATGGGTAGCCCCCCTCTGTTGAGGCAGAGAAGTTTCTCCCGTCCCCCAGTGAAAATTCTGGGAGGTCTCGCCATGTGTGCACGTGAGCTCTGTGGGGTGGTCTCGCCATACACACGTGAGCTCTGTGGGGTGGTCTCGCCACGCGCATATGTGAGCTCTGTGGGGTGGTGTCTCTGCAGGAATTCTTCCGTTACTACTCAATGAAGGACAAGACTGAGTATAGAGCCCATGAGAGGCACGCGGAGCTGGAGACCAAGATCGACCTGATCAAGAAAGGTGAGGCATGCCGGGGAGGCGGAGCAGAGAGGCTGGAGAGAGCTGGGGACTGAAGATAGCCCTGGGAAGGCTGCTGGCTCTGGGGCAGCCTGCAGCCCCTCTGCATGCAGTCCACCCCAGAATCCCAAAGGGAGGGGGAAGCAGTAGGTGTGAGCAGTGCCAGTTCCAACACTGGGCTCAGGCATAGAAATTCTGGCTGCACATGGGGTCACCCACCGCCCTGGGGCCTCCCCTCACCTATCCTGCCTCTCCCCACAGATGAGCCCAATGGAGTAGAACCGAGACACCCACATGACATGGCCCCCCAAGTTCCCTGCCAGAAGCCCTCCGTCTTCAGCATCTTTAAGAAGGTACGTGAGTCAGTGACACCCTCATGCCTTATCAGCCCCTGGGCGGGTCTCTCCCCCAGTGTGGGAGACCCCAGAGCTGGTATCTCCCTGCATATTTGGGTAACAGGTCCTGGCTTTGTTTTTGTCCCCAGATCTGGGTCACGGCTCTGTCCGTCTGCTTTGTCTTCACGGTCACCATTGGGATCTTCCCGGCCGTTACTGCCGAGGTGAAATCCACCATCGCTGGGAGCAGCAAGTGGGGTGAGTGACAACAGGGTGCTGGTCATTGTTCGTCGCTGGGGAGTCGAGGGACCGGACAATCTGGAAGGGCGCAGACCCCTAGCGCCAGAGCTGGAAGAAAGTGAGGCACAGGGCAGGGGGAGAAGCTACAGGGGAGAGGCCCCAGTGACATCTGATGGGAACCCAAGAGCGGGATAGGGCCTGCCATGCCCTCTGACAGCCTGGGCAATAGTGCAGACCAGGACCAGGCCCTGTCCTGGCTGCTGAGTCTCAGAGAGAGCCTGTGCCCCTGGGAGGGGCTGTGTTTTGGGGCAGGGCCTGATCCCCATGTCCCCTGTGCCCCGCACCTTGGGGTGCGCTTCACACAGCAGACAAGGGAGGAGCGTGTCCTGGTGCCTGTCACTGACCCTGCCCCTCTCTCCAGAGGTGTACTTCATCCCTGTCTCCTGTTTCCTGATGTTTAATGTCTTCGACTGGCTGGGACGGAGCATCACAGCTGTCTGCTTGTGGGTAAGTGTGGGGCAGAGTGGAAGGGGCGAGAGCCAGGCAACTGGGCCCTGATCTGATAGGGGCAGAGTCAGCCAATCGGAGTCCACCCCGGAGGCTGGTGTTTCCTCACAGTCCAGTTGCCCCGGCAAGACACAGGCGCTGGCAAGTTTCCAAGAGGGGCTGTGCTGAATTCTGATCCTGGCTCTGGGAGCCGAGTGAGGCCGGCTGGGTTAGAGCAGGGTGCTGCCAGGCAAGACTCCTGAGTTCTGTCCCTGGCTCTTACCGCCTCATTGCATGCTTGTGTGTGTGTCACTTCCCTGCTCTGTGCCTCAGTTTCTCCACCTTGCTGCTGACCCTGGCCTCCCAGTGGGCTGGTGCTGGGGCTCAGGGACAATCGTGTGTATGTGCAAGGGAAGGGCAAAGGGTGACTGTCCCCCAGGATCCAGTCTTGCCTTTTTTGGCAGGAGAAGCCCAATGCAGTGTGAATTGGAGGCATTTTCCCAGCTGAGTCTGGCGCACATTGCATGCGGGCCTGTAACTAACTTCCTGGGAAGTGGATGTAGGGGGCACTTGAGGGTGGGGCCAGAGGGAGCTAGCAAGCAGAGGTATGGTGCCCTGGGGCTGGGGGCAGCAAAGCACGGCAGGGAAAGAAGCGAAGAGCCCAGAGAGAAGCCCAGGACAGAGAGGGGACCCTTAGGTAGTACTGTCAGGAAGCCATCCGCAGCCTTGCAGACAGTACAGGGGGCAGCTGCTACTAAGGAGGAAGGAGGCATGTGGCAGAATGAGACAGACTGCTCTGGCAGTGGGAGAGACTGGGCAGGAGGGGCAGGGATGACAGCTAGCAAACATAATTAGTAAATCTCACCCAGTGGCCGGACATGGGACACAGGCTGGGGCAGGCCCTGCGTTACTAGAGTGCACTTTTTCCCAGGAGTCTGCCTGGTGGATCCCACCCACATGCTCAGGGCCTAAGTGGTTGCAATATGTAGGGCCAGAAAGGAATTATCCCCCAGGTCAGGTTGGCAGGGACCCTGCGTGTTTCACCCTCCTCTGCAGCGTGGGGCCCGGGTCACTTGGAGGTTTGGTATAGAGTCAGTGGTGGCTATTCTGTCTTTAAATGAGACTTTGAGGAGGTCAGTGACTCAGCCAGCAGCTAGGGGCCTGTCACAGGCGTGGGTGGGTAAGGCTCTGTGGCCGGCAGTCAGTCAGACTGGATGGTCATTGTGGGCCTTTAAAGTCACTGAGTCTAGGTCCAAGGGGAGAGCGGCTCGCCCGGGGGGAGAAGAGGAGGAGGGAGAAGCTGGAGTGGAAGGGTATCTGGCAGGGGAGGCAGGCGTGAGACACATGTGGTGTCAGGGAGAGGGGTAGCCAGGCAGTCACGGAAAGCAGCGCTGGAGCAGGGGGAGTTGGGTGATTGGGGAAGAGAGAATCACATCTGGAGATTGGGAGAGGGGGCGAGATCCAGCTGGCGGCCTGTGCGGTTCCAGGGAACTGTTCCCATGTTGCTGTTTGCCTGGCGGTGTGGCTTGGATGAAGCCGTTTCCTCAGTTGCAGCCTCCTTGTAAACAAACCTATGCTGCAGCTACACAAAGAGCTGGGGGGCAGCTAAAGGGAGGGACAGCTTCGCTGCTCACAGGGGAGTCTAGGCTGCTCTGCCCTTGGGGCTCCTAGGGCTGGCTCACAAAGGGCACCACATGGGCAGTGCCCAAAGCTGCCCCTTCCCTGACCCCTTCCTGTCAGGCTCTCTTGTTTCTCGGGCCCGCCCCATATGGCAGCGTTAAAGTTCTGGAGTTGTATCATATGTGCTGGGAGAGCTGGCCCTGATCCAGTAACGGGGCTCGGAGACGCTGTCGGCTGGTCTGCACCCTGTACACGCTCTGCCCTGGAAGTGCGACCTGCTATCCTTCCGGCACGGCCAGCATCAGAGAACTAAGAATGCAGAAGGGGAGCTAAACAGCTCCCTGTAGCCAGGGTTCAGAGTGCTACCATGGCTAGGAAGAAGGGAGATGTGACATAGTGGGGGGTACCTTGCTGGTTGCTATGCTGGGCAGTGGGTTGTGAGTGACCTCCACTGGCTGCTGGCTGCAGCACAGCCCAGTAGGGCAGGAGATGAATCATCATGCAAGGGGGCTTCGAAGCTTGTCAGACAGGTATCTCCCAGGGAGCGGAACAATGGGAAGAAGGGGAGTGGAGCCCTGGCTGGGGGGGCAGGGCTGGAAGTTGGGCAGTTTCTGTCTGGTATCATGGAGGAAGCAGCCTAGGCAACAGGCTGGGATTTAGGGGCCCAGGCTCCCCCATCTCAAGAGGGGCTGAGGCATCCTAGGCCTGCCCTGTAACCAGATTACATCTGTGCTGTGCTGTATCCTGGAGAAGCAATAAACTCCCTCTATTCTACTGGCTGGCGGAGTCTGTTCATGCCATTACGGGGGTGCAGGAGACAAGAAAACCCCAACGTGCCATCATAGGGGGGTGTTTGGAAACAGATCTACTTGAGTGTGTGTCATAAGCCCCGTACCACTAACAGGGCTGCTGGGCGGGGTCTGTTTCTCTTCCACATTCCAGGTGGCCTACAGTGGTTGCTTGAGGACAGGCTGCCCCATGCATCAGGTTATGGGTTGAGTTTGGTCTGCAGTGACTGGCCCGTGTCCACCCTGCCATGGGTGGGGAGGGGAGCTGATGAGTTTCTGGCCCTTCCTGCCCCCTCCACGCCCCATGCGGTGCTTCCCCCCTTACAGTTCAGACTGTTTGTTTGAATAAGTTCTCAACAGCATGAGACCACAGGGAGCCTGTCCAGGCTGAGCCAGCTGAGAACTGCCTCTGATGCTCTCCCCTGGTGGGAGGGTCATGTCGCCTGGATGCCTTTGGCCCTGAGCTGCCTCGCCAGGCCACATCCCCATTGGCAGGAGGCCTCAACAGGAGATGGTTCCAAAACAGCTTTATGGTAGTTGGATGCAGCTGCTTGTGGTTTGGGCAAGCTGCTGGGCTGGAGGGCCTCCTTTTCCGGGGCGGGCTTCCCAGCCACCAGGGCGCCGCTTCTGGCTGTGCCCACAAACACGCCCCAATCCCGCGGCAAACTTGTTGGTGCCCACGACTGCCCACTGACGCGCCAGCCCAGCCCAACGGGCCCACGGGGGGGAAATGAAGACTCATGTCAGACGTAGGTGGCGAGCGCTGGCTTGGGGACCTCAGCAGCCCTCTGGAGTGAGCCTGTTGCAGCTGCTCTGGTGTGGCCTGGCTGGAACCAAGAGGAGCACCAGGGATGTGACACTGTTGTGGTGTCCGTGGGGCATGTTGGCACCCCTAGCTGGAGAGCAACAAAGCTGGGGGGTCCCGGTCTGCACGCACAGGCTGGGGGGCCTGAGCAGAGCAGGGTCAAGTGGGAAGCCCAGTGTTCCCTGGGGAAGGTTCGGCTCAGCAGAGGGGTGGGGAGACTGACCTGAAACTGGGCAGGCCGTGCAGCTGCAGGGTCAGAGCATGGGGCTGGCAGCTCAGGGAGCCAGTGAAAGCTGGAAGGGCATTGGGCATTTCCCCAGGGCGCAGGGGAGGGTGTGGGGCTGTGTGCGTGTTGGGCTCTCAGCTACCATCAGCCTGTTGTTTTCCATGTTAGTTATTGGCTCTGCAGAAGCCTTGCTCAGCATCCTGGCTCCTACTGCCTCCCAGCTCTCCAGCAGCATGAGTCAGCAGGCTGGAAACGCCCCAGCCTGGGCCCAGGGAGTGGTTCTCAAGGGGCTGAGTCCCAGTGAACTCTCTGGGGTCTAAGCCAGCTGGTCCAGCACAGGAGCTCAGCAACTCTGCATTGTAGGCATTGCAGGGTAGCATTCCCTTTCCAGAGTGCCTAGAGGGAGCCCATGTCCCTCAGGAGCACCCTCTTTGGGTGAGCAGGCACAGCACTGAGCCATCTATAAACTGAGCACTCTGCTGCCCAGCTCATTAATGGTGCACATCTGCACATGCCCCAGTGCATATAAAAAATATATTCCACTTATGGAAAAAATTAGAGGGACCATTGCTCCTGGCCTGTGTGGATCCCTCTCCACCTTCACTTCTTGCCTGTCAATGCTGTGGGGAGGTGCCCTTCACTTGCCCGGTGCTCTGGGCTCATTGCCCACTGATAGGTCTGTGTTTGTGTCTCTTGCCCAGCCCGGGAAGGACAGCCGGCTCCTGCCTTGGATGGTGGCTGCACGTATCATCTTCATCCCCCTCTTCATGCTGTGCAATGTGCAGCCCCGCAGCCATATGCCTGTCTTCTTCCACCACGACGCCTGGTATATCGGCTTCATGATCCTCTTCTCCATCTCCAATGGCTACCTGGCCAGCCTCTGCATGTGCTTTGGGCCCAAGTGAGTGTGACCTGGAGCTAAGGGAAGGGAACCAAGACCCTGTGCTCATGCAGTTCCCCTCTCTAATGGGTCCTTTCCCAGCTGTCAGGATCACTCTCCCCATGCTACAGAGGGAGAAACGGGCTAATTTGCCCCAGCCCATCCAGATGTCCTGGCTCCCAAAGTCCTGTGCTTCAGCCATTAAGTCTTCTCCTTTCTCCTCAGCCCAAAGCTGAGCTGAGCCTTGCGCCTCCTGCACGGATGAGAGCAGTGAAAGGGGCTATGACTGATCCCTGGGGGCACAGCTGCAGCCAAAGGCAAGGGGCTCTGCAGAGTGCCGGCGAGGGCCGTGGCCGCAGCCCTAGCACAGGGAGGTGCTGGGGCTGGCCAGGCAGCCTGCACGCCTGGCGCCTGCATCCAGCCGCCTTGACAGGCGTGCAGGGTGGTGCTTTGCCTGATACTTAGCAGCTGCATACTTTTTATACAGGCTCATAATTCCGAGCTGGGCGCTTGTCCCAGCAGGGTGCGGGGCGGGAGGTTGCTGCGGCAGAGAAAACCCTGCAGAGAAGTACTCCCTCCCATCCCCTCACTGTCGACCCCTGTGGCCCCTTCTCCTCAACCAAGTGCCCTCCCGCCCCCTTCCCACTCCCCATCACTAGCGTGTGGGCAGCCATGCCAGGCCCTCTCCCTGAGCCTAGCCTGATTTCTTACCCTGCTCGACACGTAGCAAGAGCTCGATCCCAAGAGTAGCTTCAACTCTACGCAACACCCCAGCCCGGCACCCACCTAGTGTGGCACCCAGGAGCAACTGCCCCTCCTTGCTCCCCCTTCACTATGCCTCTGCGCAGCTCCCACTGCTCTCAGGGAGCACCTGTGGGAAGCCCGTATGGCCCACCACCACCCAGGGAGACGCTAGCCACTAAGGGATTCAGCTCCACCTCCACCCAAGGC